CTCCAGGTGCGCCAGGCGCGCCAGGCGCGCCAGGTGCGCCAGATGCGCCAAGCGCGCCAGGTGCGCCAAGTGTGCGCCAGGTCTGCGCCAGGTGTGCGCCCGGTGTGCCAGGTGCGCCAGGTGCGCCCAGCGCGCCAGGTGTGCCAGGTGCGCCAACTGCGCCAGATGCGCCAGGTGCGCCAGGCGCGCCAGGCGCGCCAGGTGCGCCAGGTGCGCCAGGCGCGCCAGGCGCGCCAGGTGCGCCAGGTGCGCCAGGTGCGCCAGGCGCGCCAGGCGCGCCAGGTGCGTCAGGCGCGCCAGGCGCGCCAAGTGAGCCAGGTGCGCCAGGTCTGCGCCAGGTGTGCGCCCGGTGCGCCAAGCGCGCCAGGTGCGCCAGGTGCGCCAGGTGCACCAGGTGTGCCAGGTGCGCCAGGTGCGCCAGATGCGCAAGGTGCGCCAGGTGCCCCAGGTGTGCGCCAGGTGCGCGCCAGGCGCGCCAGGTGCGCCAGGTGCGCCAGTTGCGCCAGGCGCGCCAGTTGCGCCATGCGCGCCAGGCGCGCCCGGTGCGCCAGGCGCGCCAGGCGTGCCAGGTGCGCCAGGTGCGCCCAGCGCGCCAGTTGCGCCAGGTGAGCGCCAGGTGCTCCCAGCGCGCCAGGTGCGTCAGGTGCGCGCCAGGTGCGCGCCAGGCGCGCGCCAGGTGCGCCAGTTGCGCCAGGCGTGCGCCACGTGTGCGCCAGGTGCGCGCCAGGTGCGACAGGTGCGCCAATTGCGCCAGGTGTGCCAGGTGCGCCAGTTGCGCCAGGCGCGCCAAGTGAGCCAGGTGCGCCATGTGCGCCAGGTGCGCCAGGTGCGCCAGGTGCGCCAGGTGCGTCAGGTGCGCCCAGCGCGCCAGGTGCGCCAGGTGCGCGCCAGGTGCCCCCGGCGCGTCAGGTGCGCCAGGTGCGCCCAGCGCGCCAGGCGCGCGCCAGGTGCGCCAGGTGCGCTAGGTGCGCGCCAGGCGCGCCAGGTGCGCGCCAGGTGCGCGCCAGGTGCGCCAGGTGCGCCAGGTGCGCCAGATGCGACAGGTGCGCCAGGTGCGCCAGGTGCGCCAGGTGCGTCAGGTGCGCCAGGTGCGCGCCAGGTGCGCCAGGTGCGCCAGGTGCGTCAGGTGAGCCCAGCGCGCCAGGTGCGCGCCAGGTGCGCGCCAGGTGCGCGCCAGGTGCGCCAGGTGCGCGCCAGGTGCGCCAAGGGGACAGGGAGGCCTCAAAGTGGCCTGCGGAAGGCGCACCTCCGCTGGGCCTCCCAGGAACCCACAAAAGTGGCGACAGTTGCGCGGATCGCAGCCCCGCAGGGGACACGGAGGCCTCAAGGCCTCAAGGTGATCTGCGTAAGACGCACCTCCGCTGGGCCCCCCAGGAACCCACGAAAGTGGCGACAGTTGCGCAGATCGCAGGCCCGCAGGGGAGAGGGAGGCCAAAAAGTGATCTGCGTAAGACGCACCTCCGCTGGGCCTCCCAGGAACCCACGAAAGTGGCGACAGTTGCGCAGATCGCATCCCTCCCAGGGGACAGGGAGGCCTCAAAGTGATCTGCGTAAGACGCACCTCCGCTGGGCCTCCCAGGAACCCACGAAAGTGGCGACAGTTGCGCAGATCGCAGCCCCGCAGGGGACACGGAGGCCCCAAAGTGATCTGCGTAAGACGTACCTCCGCTGGGCCTCCCAGGAGCCCGCGAAGTGGCGACAGTTGCGCAGATCGCAGCCCCACAGGGGACAGGGAGGCCTCAAAGTGATCTGCGTAAGACGCACCTCCGCTGGGCCTCCCAGGAACCCACGAAAGTGGCGACAGTTGCGCAGATCGCAGCCCCCCCCCCAGGTGACAGGGAGGCCTCAAAGTGGTCTGCGGAAGACGCACCTCCGCTGGGCCCCCCAGGAACCCACGAAAGTGGCGACAGTTGCGCAGATCGCAGCCCCGGAAGGGACAGGGAGGCCTCAAAATGATCTGCGTAAGACGCACCTCCGCTGGGCCTCCCAGGAACCCACGAAAGTGGAGACCGTTGCGCAGATCGCAGCCCCGCAGGGGACACGGATGCCCCAAAGTGATCTGCGTAAGACGTACCTCCGCTGGGCCTCCCAGGAGCCCGCGAAGTGGCGACCGTTGCGCAGATCGCAGCCCCCCCCAGGGGACAGGGAGGCCTCAAAGTGATCTGCGTAAGACGCACCCCCGCTGGGCCTCCCAGGAACCCACGAAAGTGGCGACAGTTACGCAGATCGCAGCCCCGCAGGGGACAGGGAGGCTTCAAAGTGATCTGCGCAAGACGTACCTCCGCTGGGCCTCCCAGGAGCCCGCGAAGTGGCGACAATCGCGCAGATCGCAGCCCCCCCCCCTGGGGACAGGGAGACCTCAAAGTGATCTGCGTAAGACGTACCCCCGCTGGGCCTCCCAGGAACCCATGGAAGTGGCGACAGTTGCGCAGATCGCAGCCCCGCAGGGGACAGGGAGGCCTCAAAGTGATCTGCGTAAGACGTACCTCCGCTGGGCCTCCCAGGAGCCCACGAAGTGGCGACAGCTGCGCAGATCGCAGCCCCGCAGGGAACCGCGAACACAGGAGAGAAGAAGGAGAGGGCTGGAGGTGGATACCACAGTTCTCTTTTCAAAACGAGTACCCAACATAAAAAAAGGTTGGGAATAAAGTGCACACGCGCACGTCGTCGCGCGAACATCTCGAAATCCCAGTCAAAAGATACCGTAAGTTCCGTAAGGAATTCAAAACCGAGCGTTATATCTATATATCATATCATATCATATTCAAAACACACACACACACACACACAAGTGGATTCGCAAGGAAAAAAAGATCCGCTCGCGCTCTTGCGAATTCTTACAACAAAAAAACAATGGTTCTAATGTTCATACAATGCCACCGAACGGGTTTCGCGCGCGCATGCCGAAATCGTTCGGCTGCCCTTGCGCGCGCGTCGTCGCGCGCATGCCGTGGTCCGTCAAAAAGCCATGGGTGTCGTAAGGATTTCAAAACCGGCTGTCCCGAAACCATATAAAACCACATGACATCGCAACACCAGTCCCCCCCCAAAAAAACAAAATGCGTTCGCGCTCTTACGTTTTCTTAAGAAACCCAGAACTTGTTCAACATGCTCATGGAATTCTGCGAAACGGGCCTCTCGCGCCGCATGCCGAAATCATTCGAACGTCCTTACGCGCGTGCTGGAAGGGCACGATCTGTGCCAAATAACAACATGTGTGCCACTCTCGCGCGCCGTCGTCGTCGTCAACGTGATCAGCATCGACGCAATCACTGGCCGTGCCGTCGACCATGCCACCATCGTCACCAGCACCGCTACTACCATCATCGTGCCTACCGTTGTCGACGTTGCCATGGTACCGCGCCCGCCAGAGCCGCCGACTCGCAGTAAAGTACCCGCTGGAATGTGCCCAGCGGTCAGCGCCACCGCGGCCGCGGCGGTCGCGCCAAACTAGCTGGCCGTTGCGCGCGCGAGCATGCGCGGCCCAACGCGGCCACAGATATGCACCAGCCAACACCAAGCATTTATCGCAATCGCCGCTGCATGGGTTTTGCAAACCAAGTTGCGGGTGGGTGGGAGGGATGATTGCGCGAGCAGTGGAGTTGACAACCCACTGCGGACAGCATTAATTGCATTACATAGGTTACATCGCAGACGGTGCACCACATAGATTGCACCGCATAGGCTGCACTACAAAGGTTGCATCGCATACATTGCACCACCTAGATTGCACCGCGTAGATTGCATCACATAGGTTGCATCGCAGACATTGCGCCGCATAGATTGCACCGCATAGATTGCACTACATAGGTTGCATCGCATGTATTGCGGTTGCACCGCATTCAGTGTATTGCATAGGTTGCATCGCGAAGCATGCACCACATAGGTTGCACCGCGCATGCTGCAAGAACCTACGGTTTGGGGGCCCACGCTGGCTGACATCGTGTTCAAAACGTGGCTCTCACCTCAGCGCCGCGAACATGTGTCCTAAAAGCTTGCTGCAGCTTCACGTATGAAGGGCGAGTCCCTTTCAAACGGTGGCTCTCGCCCTAGCGCAGTACACGTTCGCCTTGAAACTTAAAACCGCTTCGAAGATGGAGCAGAAGTCGTCTTGAAAGTTGTTCTCGCCTTTGCGCCGCGCACGTTCGTCCTCAAGTGCGCAACAGCTCCGCTAGCGGAGGGCAAGTCGTTCCCAAAATGTGATTCTCGCTTCAGCGCTGCGTACATTCGTCTGAAGCATTTGCAACAGCTTCACGGACGGCGGTGGGCGTTTTCCAAATGTGGCTCTCGCAATACTGCCACAAACAAACGCCAGAAAATCCGCAACTGATTGTCAACGATGGTGGGTAGAGGGCTGTTATTCTTCAATATGGAGTCATCGCCCGAAACTTCGCTGAGCAGCAAGTCCCGAAGCTTCAACGCACGCAGCGCTACACGGATCCATGGCAGCTCCTTTTCAACTTGGAGCTGTCGCTTGAAGCTTTCTCGACTTGCATGGTCACAAGAGTAAGCTTGTGCAACCGTTACACGGATGGGGGCGGTCCGTCTTCGAAAGTGTGATATCGGTGGACACCTTATTGAACTGTATGATCGTTGTTTGTCGCGTTCCTGCTTACGCGCAAGTAAGTTGCAAGGCAAGTCATTTTCAAAGCGGGACCCTAGCCAAAATGGCAGGCCCAAATGGGCTGGTCGTGCAAGAGGGGCGCTTCTTGGAGTGAAAAGGAGGACTTGCAGGAGCGTCTGAGCAGGGACTTAGGACGGAAGCGTGTTCTGAAGCATCGTTACGTACGCACTGTTGGTTTACTCGTGTCCACATCCTCCTCCTCATCCTCCTCGTTCTCCTCCTCCTCCTCGTTTTCCTCCTCCTCCTCCTCCTCGCTGTTGCTCGCCCCCTGTACCTCCCCCTCCTCCTGCCCCCCACCCGCCTCGCCCTCCGCATCACATCCAGCTCCTGCCTGCCCCTCCGCCCCTCCGCCCTGGCCCACGGCTCCCGCGCCGTCCTTCGGGTACGTCGGAGTGATGTCGAGGATTGGCTTCACGCTGGCGAAGGGCAGGCGGCACCTGCGGCGGCGACGGGCCAGGGGGGCGGCGCAGGGGGAGGCGGAGACGCAGAGCCGGCGGAGGCGGCGGGGAGAGCAGGGAGGACGGCGAGGGGAGGAGAGGAGGGGAGCAGGGGGGGAGACGAAGGGAGGGAGGACAATACAGAGAGAGAGAGAGAGGAGGGGAAGGAGGGGGGAGAAGAAGGGCGAGGAGGACAGTACAGAAAGAGAGAGAGAGAGAGAGAGAGACGACCCACTGAACTGCCCAAACCCGACCCGAGGTCGCCGTTGGGCCTGTCAATTTCCAGTGGGGGGGGGGCATTCGGGAACACTGAGAACATACACGATTTAACACGATGTAACACGATGGGACCTTCGGGTTGGGTTGGGGTGGTTCGGTAAGTAGTAAGAGAGAGAGAGAGAGAGAGAGAGATCGCACATGGAAAGGAAGTTGGAGGAGGGAGCACGGACGTCTGCAAGCAAAACAGCTGGCAGCGCGCAACACCGAATCGGGTCCCAGCTGTCGAACGGCGGGGCGTGAGACGGTCCGCAGGTGTTCAGCTGCTGCGGCATCGCTGGCGCCCTGCCTGGCTGAAGGAGGCCCGTCGACAGCTGCTTATGAACGCCCTGGTGATATTCACCATGGTCAGGCGGTCGGTTCTCTCCATCGAAGTCCTCTGAGTTCAGGAGATCGCCTGCAGAACCGAAAAAAATGCCATCCGGCTATTGAGGCCAGGCGCCTTGCGCTCCACTCGGCCCACGCGGTGCTGGCCAGTGCGCGGCAGCTGTGCGGCACCCGCCCTCCAGAAACGCGCTGGCGGCTGCCAGAATCTGCAGGCGCTTCCGCCGCCTCATCCCCTTGGTGCCCAGAGAAGCACGATCGTTTAATCTCGCACTCGCTAGCATTCAAGCCATACGCCGTCCGGCGCATGGGCGGGAAAACAAGCTCAGCACAGCCTGCATTGCAAGGAGGAGGAGGAGGAGGAGGAGGGAACGGGGCGATGGGGAGAGATCAACAGCAACAGCATCAGCGGGGAGGAAGACGGAAACAGGAAAAACGAGAATCAATTAATCGCTGAATTAATTCATTACTTAGTTAATGAACTAATTAATCAATGAATAAATTAATGAAGTGCCTGCCAGGACTCGCAAGCATCGGGCCCTGCCATGCCAAAAGTGGCCGCGTGCTCGGGTCCAGGTGACTGCCCATCCCCTCCCTCGCCCTCCCAGGTCCTCCCCGCCTCCCCTCCCCCCCATCATCGAAGGGGCCCGAGGACACACAAACAAATAAATAGACACAAATCCCAAGATATTCCGTATGTTCTCCCATATCTTCTAAAGTTCCGTCTTCCCCTCAACTTCAAATTTGTTCAGTTGTTTCTTGGGGATCCACATTCATGTGTGCCTATGTGTGTTTCCCACCCATCCTGTGGTGTTGGGTCCTCGTTTTGAAAAGACAGCGCCCCGCGTTCTCTTTTCAGCCTCTCCTCCTCCTCCCCCTCCCGCTCCTCCCCTCCCCACCCCCATGTCGGCACACTCTTAACACGTTTCGTGGCCCCATAATTTGGGAGCCTACGGCCCCAGTGGCTGCGTTCGCATGCGGTCCCAACCCAATGTCGATACACCCCTCACACGCTTCGTGGCCCCGTAGGTAGGGAGCTCCATCGAAGGCCCCAGTGGCTACGTTCGCATGGCACTGCCGCCCCATTTCGGCACACCCCTCACACGGTCGCCGCCCCATTTCGGCATACCCCTCACACGCTTCGTGGCCCCCTAGGGAGCTCCACCTAAGGCCCCAGTGGCTGCGTTCGCATGGCACCGCCGCCCCATTTCGGCACACCCCTCACACGCTTCGTGGCCCCATAGGGAGCTCCAACTAAGGCCCCTGTGGGAAAGTTTGCCCGACACCGCCGCCCCACGTCGGCACACCCACCTCACACCTTTCGTGGCCCCATATGGGAGCTCCACCTGGGACCCCAATGGGGAAATTCGCGTGGCACCGCCGCCCCATTTCGGCACACCCCCCTCACACGTTTCGTGGCCCCATAGGAAGCTCTAACTAAGGCCCCAGTGGCTGCGGTCGCATGGCACCGCCGCCCCATTTCGGCACACCCCCCTCACACGATTCGGGGTCCCATAGGGAGCTCAACCTAACGCCCCAATGGGAAAGTTTGCGTGACAATGCCGCCCAATTTCGGCACACCCCGCACACGCTTCGTGGCCCCATAGGGAGCTCTACGGAAGGCCCCAATGGCGACGTTCGCATGCGTCCGCCCGACTCATGTCGGCACAACCTTCACACGTTTCGTGGCAGAAGGCTATACCGCGTGCGTTTCTCGGAGTTTGCACGCCCCACTCCTTCGTCTCATCTCCCTCGCGGTACTCGCAGCTGCATATGGTTGGGTCTTTCGTCAGGCTAAGTTCCTTCTGACATCTTCCATTCCCGCATCCCTTTGACCCACCTCCGCTCCCATCTGCTCTCATCTGCGTCGCTCTCCCCTCGGCCACAATCACACAATATTGATAGTCGTATACTTTCTAACCTTTCACACTGTCCAAGGCTGGCACCACCTTTCCCCGCGTTTTGTCACTGGGCACGGAGTGGCGTGTCCTCAAGTCCTTTGCCTAATCCCCTGAGCCGGTCCTCACTCCTGAGGAACCATTAAAGAGCCCGGAGCCCAAATTGCGAAATCTCTCGGGGGGTTCTCGCCTCTGGTCGGGGGCATGTCGCGTCTCCCCGCGTGATTTTTCCGGCCCACGAGGGCCGCAGGACGGGCCAAGAGGGCCACACGAGGCCCCAAGACGGTCCAACAGGGCCGGCCCCGAGTCGCCGAAACATATTTCCGAGACGCCCAAGATAGCCTCAAGAATGGCCCAAGAGGCCTCCGAGACGCACCAGGAGGCCTCGAAGAGGCCTCCCAGGAGAGCCCCAAGAGGCAAAAAGACGTGACTTGTCTTTGGGTTGTTTGAACGATTTTGGCATTCTCGCCTTTTCGGCTTTCCGACGCTCCAGAACGGCCCAGGAGGCCCCAAAAACCACTCCAAAAAGGCCAAAAACGCATCCAAGGAACCCAATACGGCCTAAAAGCACCCCAAAAAGGCCCAAAAGACGCCCAACACGGTCCAAAGGGCCCCAAGACGGCCCCAAAAGAGGCCCAAGAAGAGGAACACGAAACGAAAGTCCAAGCCTTCCGCTCCAAGGGGCCCCCAGGGAGCCCCAAGAGGTCCCCAGGAAGCCCCAAGAGGCCCCCTAAGAGGCTCTCAAGAGGCCCCAAAAAGCCCCCAAGAGGACCAGGTCCCAAAACGGCCTCCAAGATGCGTCAAAACTGCCTGCAAGAGGCCCCCGAGCCTCCCACGAGACACAAAACAACATCTCAAAGGCTTCATACCCACAACCCAAGCACGGTGGCGGGATGGGTCGAAGATCATTAAATACCGTCCTATGCTGGCACCACCTCTCCCCGCGCTTGTCAGAAACACAACACACACACACAAACACACATATGTTTGTGGATGGATACACAAGATATATATATATATATATATATATATATATATATACATACACACACACACATACACAAACACATACACATACACATACACATACACATACACATACACATACACATACACATACACATACACATACACATACACATACACATACACATTCACATTCACATTCACATATACATACATACATGTTTACATACATACATACATACATATCCCAGTGCGACCCTACCTAGGAGTTGGAGCCTCTAGGAAAGCAACATTAGTAGGAGCGGTAAACGCCGTCCTCCTCCTTCTCCTCATCGTCGTAGTTGTAGCAGTAGCGGTAGTAGTAGTAGCAGCAGTAGCAGCAGCAGCAGCAGCAGCAGCAGTAGTAGTAGTAGTAGGAGTAGCAGTAGCAGTAGTAGTAGCAGTAGTAGTAGCAGCAGCAGCAGCATAAGTAGTAGTAGTAGTAGTAGTAGTAGCAGTAGTAGTAGTAGCAGCAGTAGTAGTAGTAGCAGTAGTAGTAGTAGTGCCAGAACCGCCGACGCAACGCCGTAAGTGAAGCAGCAGCAGAAGCAGGCAGCAAGTGGCCGAGACAGCAGCAAAAGCAAGCAGGCACGGAGATGAGGGCGGGGCACTGGGTAGTTCGTTACATCTACATCTATATCTACACCTACATCTACATCGACACCTACATCTACATCTAGACCTACATCTACATCTACACCTACAGCTACATCTACATCTACACCTGCATCTACAGATACATCTACATCAACAGCGAGACTCACATCTACATCTACATCTACACCTACATCTACACCTACATCTACACCTACATCTACATCTACACCTACATCCACATCTACACCTACATCTACATCTACATCTACACCTACATCTACATCTACATCTACATCCACATCTATACCTACACCTACATCTACACCTACACCTAGATCTAGGTAGTGGATGCTGTGTTGCGCTATGCTATGCTATGCTATGCTTTGCTGCGCAATGCTATGCTGGGCTGGGCTAGGCTATGCTATGCTATGCTGCGCTATGCTATGCTGCGCTATGCTATGCTATGCTATGCTTTTGCTTTTGCTTTGCCTTCGCTCTTGCCTTTACTCTTGCCTTTGCTTTTGCTGTTGCTTGGCACCCAGAGAGCGCAACTGGGGGAACCGCGCGTTTGCTTTTACCTTTGCTGTTGCTTTTGCTTGGCTCCCAGGGGACTGGGGGAACCGCCCGGGGCGGTTTGCACTGCCCGGCCCCTTTAAGCCAAGCGAGTAAGAACCCTTCTAGGCAGAGCCTAGGTCGGGAAAAATATGTATACATACACATACATACATTCAAACATACATACATACATACATGCATGCATGTATGTATGTATGCATGCATACTTGCACACATACATACATACATACATACATACATACATACATACATACATACATACATACACACACATATATCCATACATACATACATACATACATACAGACAGACAGACAGACAGAC